GGGCGGCGGGCCCTCCCCGCCGCGGGGTCCGCCGCAGGCTGCGGCCAGGCGGTGCCTGGCGGAGCTGGCAGGTGGCGGGGGCCGAGACAAGCCCTTCAGATAACATTTTCCGCCGCGGGAGTGCGCTGGCCCGGTTTGCACCCCGCCTTTGCTCGCTGCGCCTACGTGACTGCGTGTGGAAAATGGGAGAGAAATACTAATCATTTAAAAGCGATGTGCCTTGCACAGATCTCTTTATTAGACCAGGACAGTGTATTTTACAAAACAGAGAAAGGTCAGAAGCTTTCATTAGTTCTGCAGTTGCTCAGGCGTCCTGAGCGTGTTCGTAGCTTTGCGTTCTAATGGGTGACAGATTGATAAGCCCCTTCTTGAAAAACATAAAGTGGGAAGTTAAAACAGGAAAAAAAACCGTGGAAAGCTTTAATAACAGAGCAGTCCCGTAAAGATACCTTAAATTGTAGTTCATTTCAAAAGTCAAAACCCTTCTCTGGGCTCATACTAACAGTGAAAGTTATTTTAGAATAATAAAGTCTCTGGCTAGTAGATCTTTATTGCAATCGGGAGTTTTTCCGTGGACTGCAGAGCAAAGACATCTGCTCTTGCAAATGGCAGCACAGACGTATGTACTGAAGTTAGACAGATGCTTCAGAAACTTTTGTTTTCTCTGTGATTTAGTTGCTAATTTAAGCAATCTTTTGTTCTCTAGGTATAATTAAATACTGATGATTATCAAGACAGATTTGATCATTTCTTATTTGTAAGTGGATGTTGCAGGTTTCTTCAACGCTAGAGGGCTCACTGTTTTAGCTCCTGAAATCAATGCCAGTCTTGAATTAGCGTGACTGTATCTGTTCATAAGCCAAATCAGGCAAAATTAGTCTTCAGTTCACTTTCAGTTGACCATGTACCATTTGTATGACCTAGAGGTCAGTGAATGCTTGTGATACTGTGGTTGTGACATTCGCTGTTCTCAGGTATAACAGTTCCTAGAATTCTGTCAAGATACACCATCTGTGTCAAAAGAACATACGTCCTTCTTTGTTTGCTCCTCAAGATGCATTAATAGCAGAAGCTATTTTCTTTTTCCAGTTCTCTTCTGCCCTCCTCTTTCTCAAATGCATGCAAATGTTCAACTGGTAGGGGAATGAGGTATTAGCAGGACAACTATTGCCTCTCACGGTTCAGATAATTTCATTTTTGCTTATTACTGATATATAGGAATCCCTGTAATATGGAGCTTCTTGGTTACTAGTGACTGTCCCTATCGTTAAAATGAAAATATGGAAAACCAACCAAACTAGAACCAAATGTGGAAGTTAATCCTTTTTATATTTAAAGCTATGAGAAATTCTACCGATTCTACTGAAATTCTACTGACCACCTAATGGTCTCTGGGCTAGTCGTAAGCTAGATATCTCAGTCAGCGGCAGCCTTTATTTTGGCGTTGTGGTCCCAGGAAGTTCCAGCAAAGAATAGAAGCCTTCCATGCCACCTCTTCCATCCTACAGGTAAATTTCTACGTCTGTGGTCTAGCAGGATTCAGGAAAAAAGGAACCTAACAGTTTTTTCCAGACCTTGTATGTCCCAAACTCTGATGCAAATCCTAGCCCCAGCCTTCAATACAGAGTACGTGTCAAAATGGTCCCCCAAAAGAGAATACTGGTTGATGATTATTGTGATGTGTTTACTCTGTTCGACTAGCCGTACTTTATCTCCATGGTTTGTTTTAGGATCCAGCAGAAAAGTTACCTCTTCAAAACCTTTTTCCCTGAACCCGAACACCAATACCAATCTTAACACTTTGGTACAATCAGGAAACTCTATTATAATAGTGTCAAGAGACTTAAGAGTAGCCTCATAAGTATTTGCAAGCCAGCCATCTAAGTTTCTAACAAGCATCTAAGCATTATTAACAAGCCCTAGTCCGAACTTCAACCTTGGCTTCTAATACAGCTGCAAAAGGCTTTTAATACAGCTGTGAAACCTACTGAAACCTACTTCACCTCTGCCAGTAACTACCATTCTTGCAGTCTTGTTAATGTCCATCAATGCTCTCTTGAGTAAAAAAAAAAAAGCATTCTTATAATAATGATTTTGATTTTTCTATAGGATGTTGACTATAGTGACAGAATTGTCAAAACCTACAGGGACTGTTCTTACCCTCTGTTTGCAGTAATTAACTAATATTCTAAATAACTTAGAATTGCTCTCCATTTGCATATTATATCATGGACATCTTGCAGGTCAGGGAGAGTGTTTATTAGTTTTCCTATTTCAATAGGAAATAGCTATTTCAATAGCTTCCTCAAGGGAAGGGACAGAGCTGTGGTAAAGATGTTTGTCTCTTACTAAAGCAACACCAGCTTACTTCTTTTAGAATGTCTTACCTTCTCACTGTAGAAGGATTGAAAGGTAACTTAAAATGCATTATCAAGGGCAGCAGAACATTCTGTCCTTCAGATTTGACAGCAGGTGCTGCTTTATTGGCTGCATTTGTAGGCAGTACTGAGTATAATAATCGTTGACTTTTGCTAACACCTGTCTTACCATAGCATTGTCAAGAGAGCGCTACTTGGCCCCGTTCAAAACTGTCAAGAACCATGCTGACAATTGAACAATGGGGGCAGTTGCATATGAGACCTCAAACCTTATTTAGTTTACCGGTTATTGTGGTTTAATTGCAGCTATTAATCAGGATCTGCGATTAGAGAATATGAGAATGGGGCCTACATGGTTTCTGCTCCAAACTTCTACCATAGCTCTGTTTCTGCCACTTCTGGACTTTTAGCTTCTAAATATAGCCTAAATATAAGTGTCTGATATTATCCAAAATAACCTTTGACACCCTGCTTGGCCTCCAGCTCTGTTTTGGATGTTTGATATTCTCTTGGCTTTTCAGAAGTATATTCTAGTCAGGGGTCAAATAAAGGTTGTTGTTTTAACCCTAGTGTAGTTACTATACCTCCACAGGCTATGCTTAACTAACTTGGAACTGGGCTGCACTGCCTTTTCCAGTGCTTTATTAGAGCTTTGGCTGACACTTCTGCTGAGGCAGCTGTCCCTAGGACTGTGGCTAGTAGCCCTATGCCAAGTGTGTCAGACATGGTGTAACAACCTGTGCTGAAAACTAGATATATTCTTAAGAATCTGTTATAGGACAATGGTGAAGACAGACTCCCAAAAGCTTTCCACATACCATGTTCTACTGCAACCTTAGACCTCCCTTGCAAAGGTTCGCAGTTACCTGGTATAATGCCACACAAATGCTGTCCTTCCCCATAAACATAAGGCTACACACACTGCACATCTGCAGATATTCTAGAGCAGTCTGCCATGTGATACCAGTGCAGCACCTATCCTGGTGTCTGTCTCCAGGAGACATTTTTTATGAATCAGGATGTTTTGCCACTCACCAGTTCTCTAACGGAATCATTCCCATGTTACACAAATTAGTTTTGCTAATTTGCGAGGCATACTAAGTGAGAATTAATAAACAACAGCCCCTAAAATTTAACTCTTCAGCCAGGACTCGGCTTGCAGCAACAATAGCTGGATTCATATTTTAATGAGTTCAGTAATAAACAGTCTCAACCTCTCCAGCCAGAAACCTGAAAAAATTAAATGCTCACATAAACAAATTAGCTCAACAAAAAGTATCTTTTGAAGGGTGGGAAGAGACAGGGCATTTCAGAGGTAGACTACATAACATACAATACTTAGTTGTTCTCTCCTGGAGTGTACCTGTTACTCTTTCCTGCCTTCAGGGTAAGCGAAGGGTTGGGTGGCTAGCTC